GTGTGTGTGTGTGTGTGTGTGTGTGTGTGTGTGTGTGTGTGTGTGTGCATTTCTCATACTGTTTGCAATAGGAGTTTAACTTGCCCTGTGAGACGGTGGTGGCTGTGGTGGTGGTGATGGTGACTGATGTATTGGCACGAGGTGCTGCTCACCAAAGAAGTCACAGCAGAAGTGTCAACAAAGAAAGTGTGCCCTTGTCGTTTTAATGCTTGAGCAGAACTCAAGAGATGTCTTTACTTAGCAAGCCCTGTCCTTTTTTCTGTGTCCTGTCCGTCTACAAAGGCTCTATAAACAGCGGTTTTCTCGAAATGCAGAAGTTCAAGTTCATAGACATGGAAATAGGTCTTTACTCTTTTTTGTTTGCTTGTTTGTTTTTGTTTAGGGAATGGTGGGAGTAGCCTGTAAGATCTGTTTTCTCTTTCTCTCTTTCCCTCTCTTTCTTTCTTTCTTTCTTTCCTCCTTATTAGAAATTCAGTGCCAATAAGGATAATTCCTTATTTACTCCTCCACGGATATAACTCCTGGGTTTCATGGTTACAGTTTTAGAAGGAAACTGGGCACGGTGCCTTCACAGAGTATATCTCTACTCTAGAGTTTGTCAAGATGTGTTCAAAATCTCCGCCCCATTAAGTTCTGTAAATATCTTACTTCCTTCCTCTCTCCCCTGGCCTCTCTGCCTTTGAAGTCTATCCAGAGCAGAGCAGAGCGCCTGGTAACTTCGTGGCTCTGACAAGGTTTGGAAGCGCTTTTTCTGAGGATATGGTCCTGCTTGTCAACTCTGCTAAAAGTCCTGTTTCGGAAATCCTTCCAAGTCCCGAGGCTTCCGCAGTCGGAAACTGCACTGGCTGAAATTTCCTTCTGTTTTTACATTGTCTCTGACATTTTTAAAAACGAAGACGGATGCTTTGCCATTTTTGTGTGAGCGGTTATGTATGGGGGAGGGGCACAGGGCAGCTAAAACACAGTCTGTGAAACTTTACACAGCTCCTTTCTTAATATCCTTGCTGGTCTCTGAGTAATCAGTAGCATTTAAGTGAGCAACACGCAGGTGTATCCTCGCGGAAGGACTTTTTATTCTGTACAAAGCTAGCCTAACACTGGGAAGCTCAAATGGGGACTGTAGGAGAAAGGAAAGCTAATGAGGAATGGGCTGAATGGTCCTTAGGCTTCAACAAACCTATACAAGGTCCGTATCAGAGAAAAGAAAATAAATAAGGAATCATGTGTGATCCTTTACACAGAAGTGGGTGGTTTAATAACACATGTCAATAGTGGGAAAGAAAAACTGGGAGGGGTGTGGGCACCCCAGCAGACCTGTTTTTACAAGGCAGACAAAGGGGTCTTGAAGGTGGCGAACCCGCGCGTGGGAATTCGTGGAAGGGACGGAGGCTGGGGCTTGCGAATCGCGGTTCTTTGTTCCTTTCTGAACTGATGGGTTCGGAAGAGGAGGCGCAGCCTAGACAAAGCTGCCAAGCATCTACAGGACTCGAATGGTTTGGGACCCTGGCGAACAAGAGTGGGCGTGGCGATGCTGGAAAAGAATCCTTTCTTTGCTCCAGTAAACTGCCTTTAAAAAGGAAGCATGCACCCCGAGTGCCTCAGGGGGGAAATAACAGATCCAGGACACTCCACGTTTCACGGTGGCATTTCTTCTATGGCGTTTATTTATTTATTTATTTTTCTGGAAACCTTTGGTGGGTAGGCGCAGCCGTGGGAGCTGGGGATCCGCCTCCGGCAGCCACACAGTGGCTGGGAAGCTCTACTCAGCTATGCCCCGCACCCTTGGCAAACTGAGCTGCGGTTTCGTTCTTCCCAGTTCCTTTGAGAAGGCTTGGGGCCGGCGCTTGAGTTAACAAAACAGGAAGAGAGGTGTGCCCCGTGTCCTTTCCTCTCAGAGAACAACTAGTCAGAGCAGGGTAAAGAGAAGACGGGGTAGGAGATTCATCATTTCTGAAAGGAGTCAGCCTGCCTTCATTTGTGACAGTCAAACAAAAAAGTCATGTTCAAAGCTCCTCCTCTTTAAATAAAGCTCTCAACCTCAGTCCTTCTGAACACTACAGGAAGACCTGGTTGTGGAGCCGTCACTCACACACGTGCTGGAGAAATCCTGACTGGTAAGGGCTTCCAGACTCAGCAGCACAAGGTGGGGCCAGGCCAGTGTTGCCAGCAGCAGCGCAGGGTAACTGCTGCCTCTGGGCGTTCATCCCCTTTTCGCCAGAATGAAACGTTCAAGGGGGAAGCTTATGACCAGAGCATATGGTTTTCCCTTAACACCCCAACAGTGCCTCTGCTGGAGAAATTGACTCATTGGCTAACCTGTCACCTCTTCTCTGTGCAAGCTCATGTGGAGGGGCCAGGAAAGAGTAAAGGGGCCCTGGAGCCCAGATCAACACTTCATTTAAAAGTGAAGTCCCAGAGGCTTCTATAACCTTTGGCGGGCACTGCATGTCCTGAGGGTGGGTGGTAGTTTCAACCTAGTCCTTTAATCTTACATTCCTCTGAGTTCTTGTTCAATGCTCCCACCACCATGAGTAGGCACTTTCTCTATTCAAAGCTTCTTCCTTTAGCACACTCCCCATGCTGAGTGAGTACTGAGTAGTCACTCTTAAGTACTGAGCAGTCATTGGAAGCAGAAAGGGAAAAGGTAGCTGAGAAACTTTCCTGCCCAGCGTACACCTTCTCTCTCCAGAGGCGCGCCAGCAGTGTGTTCACCGAGAAGAAGGGGTTATTCCCAACAGTTCAAGTGACCACCTGACACTGCCATTCCCTTCTGTATAAACTTATTGGTAGAATGACTTTGTTAACAGGTTTATCTCAGATCATTAGCAGTACCAAGTGCATCATTCTGGACTTAATCTTTTCCATGTGCTTCACATTTGTCCCAATTTCCACTTTTTCTACGTTTAACAGAATATATTGGAAATGGTTTCTAAGATTCCCACATGCACAAAGTGAACACAGCTATCTAGGTGAAAGAATTAGAAAATGTGAAAAGTTAAGTGATGTGTAGATGTCCGTTTTGATTAGACTCCCTGAAACTTGCTTGGTAGACTAAAATAAGATTTCAATATACTTGTCTTGTACATGCCTTTTTCCCCTCAAAGCTGATTATATTATATTACTGAATGATCAACAATTATGAGTTCTGGCACTCATAAAATTGACACTAAGGTAAATACCAGTGTTTGGACTCTGACTGCATAGGACAAGTTAGTTTCAATTTGTTTCAAGGTGGAGGATGGCTTTGTGAATCAGTATTTTCTGATTTGCACTTTACTTCATAGATTATTTTTATAATTCCATTACACTGTATCTCATTAATTTGCTTGTCACCTTGAGAATAAAATATAAAATTACCTCCTGCTTGGGTTCAGACTTAGTTTGCTTCACGTTCTTTTGTTGATATGGTTTTTAAAACTTTAAATTAATGAAAAATCTTAATCTAGTCATATTCATTCCAAAACTAAGTAGTCATTCAGGGAGGAGCTTCAGTAGGATGTATGGAGCTGTTGAGACCTAATATCTAAAGTGTATTTAATCACCTTTGTTGTGTATATTATAATTGACAAAATAAACTGTTGCAAGGACTAGAAACTCGTATCAAAGAGAGAACAAAAGAGGTGTCGATATTAAGTGACAAAAGTAAGAATATTTCCTAACAATGGGATCTTATACATTATCATCTTCATTGAATTTTCTAAACAGCAGATAAGCTAGAACACAGTCAAACTGCGTTTTTTAGTGTTGAGTTCTTCCTTTGATGTCTTTGTTTCTCCCCTTTTAAGAATTTTGTGGTGAATGTATTGTAGATATCTCTATGCAAAAAAATGATTTCAGCATAGCTGTTCAGATATCATGTCCAAACTAGAATGAGAAACAAGAAGTGGGTGGCAATATTCCTCATGCCTTGCATTCATGGGAAGGGAATCTTTCTTCAGACAGGGAAACCAAGATCTTGTGCAAAAGGTCCCTTGGGAACTGTTTAAAACTCTAAAAGATAAGTTTGGCTGCTTGTACCCACTTCCATTCAAGATTCTTTCCAATGATACCAGCCTGATAAGTGGCCAGTCACCGGTTTAGTAGAAGTAGAAGCAGTTCGAAGATTGAAGTACTGTAGTGGCATAGTGTTCCCAGAAAATGCATTTATACTTAAAAAGTACTTTTTAAGTGTTAATGTCAGAAGTTCTGTTAAGGCTTTATAACACTAACTATATTATCATAAAAACCATTGTACAGGTAGAAATATACCCATGATTTAGCACCACAATACCGTATCAAGTTAAAAAATGCAATCTCATGAATAATTTTACTTCAATGAAAATGTACTGGCTGGCAAAATTATTATTCTAACCCTAGCAATCAGTAGTAGAAAAAAAATATTGACAACTATTAATGGTGTGAAGATTGGAAAAAATCTTTGCCTCTTCCCATAAAAATAATCATAATTTATACCTGATTGAAGGGATATGTTAAAGAATAAAGGTTAACTTTCACGCATATCCACATTTTCACTCATGCAAAATATTATCATCAAAAGTGTAATATGAAAACTGATGACTGTATCATTGCATAGTAAAATGTGCTGTTTCCTAACATCATAAAGATGTCTGTAAAATGATTATTCTTAGCTTGAACAGGCATGCATGTGTGGCATGTTCATCACTAGAACTGTGTAAAACATTAACTTTTATGGAGTTCCAAATTTCACAAGGAGTGGCTTTTATATAATTTCATAAGCAGAACAAGAATTTGCTTCAAATTGAAACTATACATTAAAAAAACAAACAAACAAACAAAAAACACAGCAAAAACCAAACATTTAGCCTCCAGGTTTAGAATCACCCAACAGCCATTAAAATTTAATGTTTCTATTGCCAGAGAAAATTTTCTAGGTAATATGCACACCTTCAGATTTTGTGATTTTGAATAATCATCTTGCATTTTAGTAATGGTGTTGAGAGCAAAAAATTAAAACCAGTACAAACTTTGAAAGGGCTAAACTTTCTTTTCCTCTGATGTAGTTAATGGACTTACAATTTTTTTTTTTTTTTTTTACCAGAAAGCACAAAGGCAAATATGTATTCAATAGTGAGATGTTTAGCTCTACAGGTCCTCATGAAGTAAATAACACAATAGATGTCTCTTGCCATCATAACACCACCAAACCCTAACATTACTAGTTCACAAGGTATACTAGAAAATGTTATACTAGAGACCACTGACTGAAAGAGTTGGTTGCTTTTAATACAATACAAAAGCAATACACATATGAACCAAAATAATTTTCTTCTCTGCTTCCTGGGAATCTCATCCTTCCTAGGTTAGAATCCAATTCTTCTTAAATTGACACTTCAGCAATGCTTTGTCATATAGAAAATGCCATAATTTTCACAGTCACTGCATATTCAATAGCATTGTTGCTCTTTGTCAAGCTTAAAGTAAGACCACAGTGACCTAGCGAAGTTCTGCCTAAGAATGCAAAACAAACACACCATGAAATCAAGCACACTCGCAGATCTCCCGCTCACAAGATTTTCTTAATAGTACGCAGCCAATTCCAGCACATTTATATGCCTTCTTTGAAATGAAATTAATCTTGGTGGCCAAAGTTATAAGCTTATACAGAAATTGACCAAACATCCTACCTCTAAGCAGTAATGGGGGTAGTTGGTATGGTAGCTTTGATGAGAGTTATTTTTCTTCAAATATGAGGTCAGTCTTCTATGAAATATAAGAAAGGAGAGTTAGAAGTTTGCTGTGATGTCAGTCACTTAACTCCTAAAACAACTTCTATCACCCTTCTCTTTTCTTCTAACTTGTGAAAAATAACACCCAAATTTTTAATTTTTAATTATTACAATTTATTTACTTTGTATCCCAGCTGTAGCCCCCTTCTTCATCCCCTCCCATTCCTATCCTCCCTCCCTCTTCTCCTTCCATGCTCCTCCTCCATTCCACTGATAGGGGAGGTCCTCCTCCCTTTTCATCTGACCCTAGCCTATCAGGACTCATCAGGACTGGCTGCATTGCCTTTCTCTGTGGCCTGGTAAGGCTGTGCTCTCCCCAATAATACCTAACTTCTAATCATCAATGTAAATATTCAGTTGTGTATAATGTCATTTATGCAAAATGCTTCTGATTTTTACACAGCTGGCCTATTTGTTTTGTTTCAGAGATGGTGAATTGTGTTTGAGTAGATCACTTGTCAACAGCTCTGATAAAATCATTCGGAAGGCTGGCTCCACCATCTTCCAACATTCTGTACAAGGCTGGAAAATCAATTCTTCTTTAGTTTTGGAGATAAGGTGAGTTTCTTGAATAACCCAAAAATGTCACATTATGTCCTTAAATATGTTGGGTTTGTCAAACTTATATTGAACACTTGATTTATGGCTTAAGTTTGAATGTTTAATGAAAAAGCGAATCAGCTACATTTAATGTTGCTCATGGAAAAATGTGGACCCATAAAAATAAAATCATTGCATAGTCGATTTTTTAAGGATGATGGAATTTTGAATATATTATCTCATTATCAATAGAGCAAAATATGGAACTAAGTACTAACCTTTAACATATTGTTACTTCATTGTTCAAGGTGAACATTCATTTTAAAAATCATTTCCTTACTTTTTATTTTTCCTTATTGAGACTTCATTTTGATCTGACATTTAATTATACAGAACAGAGATTCCTCCATTCCTATTTGTGTTAAATGTAGATTTATCTGATTTATTAAATAGTTATGCCTGTATAAGCTAATGTGGAAAAGTAAAGAAAGTTCTGTCATCTTCTTTTCCAGTCAGACATTTTAAGATGTAGTGAATTATTGAAATAAAACCCATAGGCTGCTCAGTTTCCAAGTGGGTTCCCTAGTAAGAGGTACAGGGGCCGTCTCTGACATGAACTCACTGGCCAGTTCTTTGATCACCTTCCCCTCTGGGGTGGAGTTGGGAGGGGAACCTTGCCAGGCCACAGAGGAAGATAATGCAGCCAGCCTTGGTGAGACCTGATAAGCTAAGGTCAAATAGAAGGGGAGAAGGTTCTCCCCTATCAGGGGACTAGAAAAAGGGCATAAGGGGGAGAAGAGAAAGGGTGGGTGGGACTGGGAAGAGACAAGGGAGAGGGCTGCAGTGGGGATACAAAGTGAATAAATTGTAATAAACAAACAAACAAATAAATAAATAAATAAATAAATAAATAAAACCCAATAACTCCTTACATTCTTTGCAACATGGTCTTCTATTTCTGTCCTAAAACTAATTTTTTAAAGCAGTCCTATACCTTCCCAAATATGGAGGAAGAAAGAATCTTATTTTTCCTTATACTTTTATTACATCATTGCTTTGGTTGTTATGCCTAAGTTAGAGCATTTTGGTAGTTTAGGAAGTGAGAAGTTTGAGAGTACATATTCTTTATATACGAAATCATTGCTGTTTTAGTGCTTTATTCATTGATGAGCTATTAGAATTGAAATTGTGTAACAGTAGCTGACTGATTAAAAATGTTAGGGTCTCATCTGTTTGTTAGCTTGCCACTTTTGTCCTCTCATATTACCTATAGACTATCTCCTTCTCTGGCTCCCATATCTAGCTCTTCATTTGAACCTAAAATAAGTTAGCAAGGAATTAATTATTAGGAATGAGGTGATAGAGGAGCATTCATTACATTAGCTCTCAGAAGTTGATGAAAGAGAAAAAAATGTGGTTGATTGAAAAGAAAAATCATTGACAATCATGACTTAAAAGAAAAAAAAATGTTCTGACAAGGAAGGAGTAATAAAAAGTGAGGCTGCATGGATGATGTAAAGGAACATAGTAGAGGGTGAAAGACAACGTAACATTAGAATAGTTTGGTTAACATATTTAGCCATGCTTAAAACATGTCATATATGTGAAAATGTAAAAAGTGTGTTGAATGAATAATATACCTCCATAATTTATATATCAGTGGATGCATTCCTAACATCTTTTCAAATATGAATACTGTAAGTACTCATGAGTCTTTAAATTTACACTTTGCTTTTTAGTAAGGTATCCAGTCTAAAAGTGTTAAATATAAACCCACTCTAGTGTTTCCACTGTTGGAACATTACAAAGTAACAAAGGCTGCAACTGTAGTTTTGAAGGTTAGCTTTTCAGCTAATAGCTGTTAATATGAATGAAACGCTAGTGCTGGCTGTGTTTATATTGTTCTCTCTAACAGTCAAAGAGGTAAACAACGCAGCAGTGAACAAATATTGAATAATACATACAAAGTTGTCATTTGCAAGGAAAGAATAATTTGTAAGTTCATTACTGCACAATGTGCAAACAGTTCATAAAAAATGACAATTGCCTCTAGTAGCAACGACTACTGAGTATTAATCAGTCTGACACCTGTAATAAAAGATTTAGGATATAAAATATGTTGCTGTTTGGCTTAGGCTTTACAAGTCTTTTGTTCATAACCCTGCCTCTGAGAGAGTGGCAGACTCCTGTTCAAGATTTTCAAAATTCTACTTTGAATATTTTGATTGGACTATTACATATAATTGTCTTTCGGTTTTAAGTAGTTGAATTGTGCTTTATTGTTTTTTTTAATTACCATTATATTTATAATGTTCTAATGATATTTCTAATAAGTTATTTGCTAATTTACATTAACACATGTAATAGTTGTGTAGTATTTTCCTTTCATTTTTAGCTGTGAATTTTGTTTCTACTGTTCAGTCCTTCAGCCAATTGGTCTGCGGCTTTCATAAACAAGGTGTGGACTTAGTGAGCAATTGTATGGTGGAGAATTGTCTAAGATTTGAGTTCATTGCACCTAAAGAATCCACAAGGTTTAAGAAGTTAATGTACTTTACAAGTAAATTCACAATCAGAATTATTATCTTGTTCTAATTGCTTCACTGTATTGATAAAAGTTTGCTAATATTATTTTTCTTTTCATATAAATTTATTCATTAATTCATTTTACATATCAATCATAACCCTCTCTCTCCTCTCCTCTTGGTAGCACCCTCCCAGCCCCCCATTCCCCTACCCCTTCTCAGAAAAGGGGAACTCTTCTCCCTCCCTCTTACAAGCCCACCCCAACCCACTGAGTTGCATCAGGACTTAGTATATTTTCTTCTATTGAGGCCAGGCAAGGAAGCCCAGTTTAGGGAACGTGATACAAAACCAAGCAACTGAGTACATGACAGTTATGACCCAGGGTCCCTTTGTTACTAGGAAACCCACATGAAGAGCAAGCTGCCCATCAGGCACATGTGTGTCGGGGGCCTAGGTCCAGTCCATGCATGCTCTTTGGTTGGTGCCTCAGTCTCCGAAAGCCCCTATAGACCTAAGCTAGTTGATATTTTTGGTATTGGGGGTTCTTGTCCCCTCCAGGATATTCTATCCTTCCACACACTCCTCCACATGACTCCCCTAATCCTGCCCTATTACCAGTGTGGATCTCAGCATCTGTTTTGTTCCACTGCTGGGTGGATGCTCTCAGAGGACAGTCGTGCTAGTCTCCTGTCTGCAAGCATAGCAAGGTATCATTAATGATGTCAGGGGTTGCCTCTCTCCTATGAAATGGGTCTCAGTTTGGGCCAGTCATTGGTTAACCATTGCCCTGTTCTGTGCTCTGTCCTATCCCTGTATATCGTGTAGCCAGGGTAAATTTTGAATGGAAGGTTTTGAAGGTGGATTGGTGTCTCCTTCCCTCTACTAGAAGTCCCACAGGCTAGGAGGTGGCCCTTTGAGCCTTCATATACCCATGCAGTCTCCATGTCCTCTCCATGTCTCAGCTAGAGTCACAGCTATATCCTCTCAGGATCCTATTCTGTGGTAGGACTACAGCTTGTCTCAGAGATTTCCTCCCCCTGGTTTTATTTCTTAAAAAGTGACAAATTTACATTTCATTAATTGTGAATAAATGTGCAAACACTGTTAGTTTCTGTCCAGCATCTCTCTTGACCTATTTTCCGTATTTTGATTATTTCCCCAGTTTTTATATATTACAAAACCCTAAGAAGTACAAATGCCAAATAAGGGAGTAGAAATGTATAAACTCAGGTACTCTCCCAAAACAGCCTAGTCAATAATTAGTGAAATACTTTGATTCTTAGTATCAGATTTTTTAAACATACAAGACTGGTTAAACATAACTACACATTTATATGTGCTTAGTTGTTAAAAAAAAAAAAAGCTTACTATTACGTTTATAGATTTCTTTCATAGAAAACACCACATGCAATACTTTTTAAATTTTTCTTTATTATTATTATTGTTTATTAAAATTTATATCCTTTGTATACACTTTGTTTCCTGACTGTATCCCCTCTCTCCTACTTGATCACTCGTTGTGATTAACAGCTGACCATAATGTTAATTGTGGATCAGGAAGCTTACTTAGCAGGAGTCAGCATTCTTACTGAGTGCTTTCTTAAGCCAGTCTTTTTATGGAGCAAATTGCGAAGATCAAATTTTATTTTAAACACTAAATATAGAGTGCTTCTTTATGTTTCTCCATCAAAAATAAAAATCATAAATTGTGATCATCTACATTTTCCAAACTCATATCAGAGTATGAAATTGTAAAGTATATAAAAAAAAAACAACCAACCAAATAAACAACAACAAAAAACAGTATTTTTCACTTGTTTTGAAATAATTTTAATTTTCATTTGACGTGATTGTTTAGGATTTTCCTTTTCATACTAAAATATATTTTCCATAACTGTCTCTAAGTTATGAATTACTAAGTAATAAAAAGACTTTGTTTCTTTTAGGCTTTTGAGGGGGAAAATGTCTCAGAAGATGATCTTTTACAAAAATTTCAAAGTTCTTTCTTTTAGTGAATGTCTTTGTCAATAAATGTGACTTTTGAATATCAAATTTACAAACACTGATTCTCTCCTCTCTTCCACTTACTTGATAAATTGAAATTAATTACATTATGATATACATATGTGTTTACATACATAACCTAATTTGATTTTCGGTTTTTAATGTATTCCTGCTGAAAGATGTGTTATCAGCATTTGCTTTCTGTTGAGACACATGAGCTTTCAGTGGAATTGCAGTTGTTACAACACATATCGTTGACTCAAAATGTGCAGAGAAGAATGGCATGTGGTGCTATGCTGGTACCCTAGCTATATTTAACATTTCACAAATGAAAACAGTGTGTAGTAAATTACTAGTCTAGGCCCCTGCAGCTGCTGTGTCGCAACTGAGGGTTGGTATTGAAAGGGAAGTTCTGGTGGAAGATTCGGTTGAGAAGTTTCTGTAGAGAATCTTTCCTCTCAGTTTAACAGTCCCCCAGCCTTTCGGTTTAAGCCAACTTTGTCTCAGAACAAAAATGTTTTTTGTGACTAAGTCTCAATGAAAATGAAACATGTTTCCCCCCCCCCAGTTGCATTAATTTTAATACTGTTGCTGTAAATAGCTGTTGGCTTAACTAAAGAAACTTGAAGGTCTAAATTGAAGGTCAAATGACAGTTGAAAACCTGAGTGATCTTCTGCCTTCATATTCTTTTATCTTTATTTTAATTAATTAATTTATTTGTTCACTTTAAATCCAGATTATAGCCCTCTCCCTCTTCTCCTTCCAGTCCTACCCTTTTTCCCTTTTTGCCCATACTCTATCTCCTATTCCTCAGATAAAGGGAGCCCCCCACCCCCACCCCAGCTCATGAAGTTGCATCGGAACTGAGTGCTTCCTCTTCTGCTGTGACCTGGCAAGGCAGCCCTGTCAGGAAGAACTGATCAGAAATGGACAGAGTCCATTTCAAAGACAGCCTTTATTCCTTTACCAGGAGACCCACATGAAGCCTGAGCTGCCCATCAGCTACATCTGTATGGGGGTCAAGGTCCAGTCTGTGCATGGTCCTTGGTTTCTTAACATTAGACACATCACTGACTTTAAATATATGTTAGTGGATTTACCACATATCAAGAAACCTTGCAAAGTTATGACTTAAATACTGAATGTGCTTTTGCTGAATTGTGAATCTGTGAGCTCAGAAGTTAATCTGCGTTTCCTCTTTATTTTTCAAGCAATTTTGCTTACTCTGCTGTTGAACAAAATTAAATTCATATTATCTTCTAAAGAAAGCTGTTTATGTCTTCCTGATGGGACCTAAAAGTTTTTCAGTTTACTCTAAGAATAAGAGTGTTTCCGGTTTGCAGTGACATTCAGCTAATTATATTTAAGTACCTTTTTCTCCCTCCATTACAGTCTAAGTGATGACTATATTTAGGAAATCCTTGGAATTCCTTATGTTCCATTGCACCTGTAATCTAATAAAATGGTTTTAGCCTTCTAAAGTGAGAAGAAACTCACCATCCCTTACTGGTTTCAAAAGAGCTTTGGGCTTTTAGGTTACAATATTATTCACTCAAATAATCATTATCAGCATGCTATCCATTTTTACCAATGATCTTGGTCTTCAATAACTTCTATGCATAAATTTTAGCCCTAAAATATGAATTAAATGTTTGATTAAATATAAGAAATTAGACTTACAAAAAAAATCATTCAAAGTCTCTTTCTGTTAACTTTCCAGTTTAAGACAGCACATTTCTACATTAAAATATTTTAAATATTATCTAAAAGCTTTTTTGCATTTTTTATTAATTACAATTTATTCACATTGTATCCCAGCTGTAGCCTCCCTCATCCTGTCTGTCCTCTCCCAATCCCACTTTCTCTCCCTTGCCCTTCACCCAGTCCACTGATAGGGGAGGTCCTCCTCCCCTTGCATCTGACCCTAGCCTATCAAGTCTCATTAGGACTGGCTGCACTGTTTTCCTCTGTGGCCTGGTAAGGCTGGTCTCCCCTCATCGGGAGGTGATCAAAGAGCCAGCCACTGAGTTCATGGCAGAGACAGCCTCTGTTCCCTTTACTAGAGAACCCACTTGGACACTGAGCTACCATGGCTACATCTGTGCAGGGGTTCTAGGTTATCTCCATGCATGGTCCTTGGTTAGAGAACCAGTCTCAGAAAAGACCCCTGATCTCCAATTTTTTGATTCTGTTGTTCTCCTTGTGGAACTCCTATCCCCTCCAGTTCTTTCATCTCCCACTTCTTTCATAAGATTCCCTGCACTCTGGCCCTAATATACATTAGTCCACATGATTTGAAGTTTTTATTGCTTTAAAAGGGACATTTTTTTTTAAATTCTGCTTTGTAAAAATAAATGACTGCTAAGACTATAGCTAAGTATTAGAAGGGTTCATAACATTGGTATCTGTGCTTAATAGCTGTTCATTTAATTTACTACTATTTTCTCACAAAAGTTAGTCAGCCTAGGCATCTTAAAATTTTGTTTAACTTTTTAAGCAGTTTTCAGATTGTTACCCCGAAGGATGGTTAAAGTACAGGTGTCCTGCTTACTTGGATACCAGACAACACACTTTGAACCGATGTTGCTTCTAAATTTCTATTACCCAGAAAAAAAGTGTTTTTGTTGGAAAGTCCCTCTTGTCACTTCACATGCATGTATGTGTAAAGTTTTGATGGCAAGAAAGGGAGTTTCCCTTTTGGATTACTAAGCTACAGAATCCTTTTTCTTACCTACAGCTCTGATCTTTTCATCTCAAGCTGTCAAACATGCTACTGCTTTTGAGCACAATCTTTAATTTGCATCTACAACAGCCCATTTCAGTTCTGTTCAGAGGAAAACGGTAACATCACCCCCTTTGATGATTTAACCACATCCGTGCAGTCTTTATCTTCAAGACAACCTTGTCATCTTCACAGCAAATAAAAAGTTGTGTTAGAATATAGGTATCAAGCCCTCCTAACACCTCCGCACCCCAGCCAATTAAACTGTAGTAAATGTGTATGGAAGAGTGTTTGTGGTGCCACTTTTGAAAGTACATGTTACCATTTATGGGGAGAAATTAGATCTTTGTAATAATTTCTTCTTAGTAAGGAAACTTACCCAGTGTCAAACAGAATAGAAAAAATTAGCACAAGAGAAAAAAATATGTCTCTTTTATCTTACATATTATTCCCAGGCTCTGAATTTTATCCCTGTGAAGATGGAAACTTGCATTAAGAGCACATTAGTAAATAATGTCTGCTTTCCAACCTTTGCTACAGTTTTCTCTGATTGTATTTTGCTGCTGTATGTTTGGTAGCTGTGGAATTAAATAATCTTAAAGTCTTGTAGGCCACATTCCTAAGTTTTTGTAAATACCATTTAACCAAAATGTAGCAGATCCTGGAGTATTTCCTTGATATTAGTCAAAAACATGAATGAATCCTGCCAAAGATTTATTGGAAACACAGACTTCTTTTTAGTGTTTTTATAATTACACTAAATCAGCCCTCCATTTCAGAATTTTTTCACAGATATTCTTTTGGTCATCCACATCTATAGATTTATGTGGAATTCTATTACTTCTGTTTGGACAGCTATAATTTATACTCATATTTCTTACCAACCAGCATGCAATGAAATATGGTACCTACAAAATGCATTACGTCATGGTTTACATTACAGACCTTACCAAGAGACAGATTCCTTTGCCTCACTGCTTCCCACTGGGCGATTCCATATTTGATTTTCCTCTTTTTAACACCATAAAAAACAACAGTTAAATACTTTTAAGGCAGTTTTACATGAGAAATCACTTTATTATGTACAATGTTTAGCTTCCAAAGTTTGAAGCACGAACTACGTTATCCGGTGCACTTTCTTTTATGCTACATTTTACCTGCCCTCCCGTCAATTATGTCTATTTTCTTATTTTCTGTCATCTAGTTAGAATATGTACATATTTATATTTGCTTAGACTCTTATAACTTATGATGAATTTGTACTATAGATATAGTGTGAGCTAAGTTTTTAAAAATAAAAAGATGGGCTTTAAAATGCACTGAGGAGATGAGTAGGAATTTTGTATCTCTCATACAGCCACACACAAATGCATGTACACCCAATCTAAAAAGATCAACCCAACAACCAAAACAACCAGACATGTTTAAAAACCTGGAAATGTTCAAACTTTTTCTAGCATCCAGAAACAAACAAAAAATCAAAAACAAAACAGTGACTGTTACTTAAAGACAATGAAGAAGGTACGAAAGAACACTAAGGAATCATTAAATCTCTCTCATATATACAATCGATGCTCTGTCTGTACAGGACTTTTTGTAACAAAACCAACCTGCTTCTTCAACTCTTAAGTGAGAATGAAAACTTACCAACACAATTAATGTGAGATTTGGGTAAATGTATTTGGGGGATTCTTAATAATTTAGTACATCTGTCTATGGTCTAATTCAAAATAACTTCAAGTTATGGCTATTCATCTCATGGGACAATATTAAATAAAAGCAGTGATGATAGAAAATTGAAAACACAGTTGAGCAAATCTCCTTGTTGTCTGGTTGAGCATATTTCAGGTATATGCATAGAAGTGGTATAGCTGGATCTTGAGGTAGCCCTATTCTTAAAATTCTGAGAAAGCACCAAATTGATTTCCAAAGTGGTTGTACTTTACATTCTCACCAGCAATGAAGGAGGGTTCCCTTTCTCCACATCCTCTACAACATGTGTTGTCACTTGAGTTTTTGATCTTAGCCATTCTGATGGGTGTAAGGTGAAATCTCAGGGTCGTTCTGATTTGCATTTCCCTGATGACTAAGGAGCACACTAGGCAAGTATCTACTTGTACAAAGCCCATCTCTATCAACTGTATTTTACCTGATGAATAATTTTCAAGTATATTTTAACAAATGGGATGATTTCCTCATGTTAGAAATAGATGTATATAATATATCCACTTACAAACTTATTCTAAACTCCTCACATGGGATTTAACAAAAATTATTTCTTAAAACATTTACTTGATTTATTCAACACTTGAAATTTTAAGAGTAGTAGTTGCCAGTTTATATTGCTCATGCTGTGGTATAAATGATCCTATCAGTTCTTAATATAAAGCTTTATTTGCATTCCATATATAGGAAGAACATTCTCCGTTTCTTAGATGCGGAACGTGATGTCTCAGTGGTCAAGAGCAGTTTTAAGCCTGGTGATGTCATACACTATGTGCTGGACAGACGCCGGACGCTAAATATTTCTCAAGATCTGCATAGCCTCCTGCCTGAAGTTTCACCAATGAAAAACCGCAGGTTTAAGACCTGTGCTGTTGTTGGAAATTCTGGTATTCTACTAGACAGTGGATGTGGAAAGGAAATTGACAGTCACAATTTTGTGATAAGGTGAGCATCCTTCTTCTCTTGGAGACTGTGAATATCACTTTATGTAGGATACTGTTAGAAATGTTTGAATTTCACATTAACATTAAGAATTGTTGAGAACGCTGCTATTTATGTGTGATATCCTTTGCAATGCTGTATTCAAACAACCCTTTATTTGAGATTAGAAATGTAATTAGTGTATCATTTAAAGAAAACTTTATTTCCGTGTAGGAGCATTTCAAGGAAAGTGCTGCTACAACAGACTTTAAAGATAGGGGAAAATAATCAGTTAATTATATGAGTACTTACAGAGACAAACATTTCTTATACTTCATCTTTTACTAATGAGTTTCATATAATGTAATTTGTTGACTGAAGATTACTATGTAGAGCTTTCCCAGGCATTAGTTAATTTTCCTATTTTATTAACAATTTCTTAGTATCTACAAAGAATTTTAGTGGGTTTGTGTCTACTATCCTGAATCAAATTGTCTTTATTTCTTATTTGTGCTATATTAACTCTTATGTTTATAAGTTTAGTTTTTTCACAAATCTGAACATACTCATTTGCTCTTCGTTAGGGACCAGCAGATAATCTAACAAATCATGTATATAGTTAACTTTTTATTAACTTAAATAAATGAGCAACAGATCATATCTAAAGGTATTAAAGAATTTTAATATCCAATTCTAATATCTGTATAGTTTTTGTTATCTCTCAGATCCTTAGAAATCATTGTGTCGATGTGTGAAAAGTAGAGATACAGTGTGAAGATACTGTCCACAGTAAGCTTTGAACATTGATGTCTGGGTAAAATATGGCTGTAAAGAATATGTAAGGATCCCACACTAGTAAAATCACAGGGCTGGTAACATAAGGCAGTGCAAATATCAGCATGTGTTAGAAAGTATCACCACATGAAGAAGTGCATGTCCAAATGTGATTATTCCTGAAGGTAGTTCTCAAAACAGGACTCCCTTCTTGACTGAGTCTGAACATAACAATAGCAGGGGAAGTGGGCTGATAGATACAGCGCTATTTTGGATGCTGAAAAGAATGCTGTTTGTTTGTTTGTTTGTTTGGTTGGTTGGTTCTTTGTTTGTTTTTGTGACAAAGGCCTGTTATCAGTATTAATTGCCTTTCTGGCTATATTACTCATTTATACTGATTTTTTTTAGTATTAATTAAAACAATTAGTATTGTTCTAATTAAATATTCTGCTATCTTACATTGTGTGATGCCTTCAATAAGTGGATCTCTACCTTCTTTCATTGTTTGCTACAAACCAGAGCCTTTTATTTTCATTTTTCTTGCATTCATTTCCTAGAAATTGTCAACTTTTTGTCAGGTATCATTATCTTGAAACAGCCTGTACATTTGCAAAGCATCTAGAACCTGATCCACGAATGATTATAATTTTCAGTCAGACAAAATTTTCTTTCCTCAGTATAACAGGAACAATAGACCATAACATCCCCATGCTGTTCTGCTATGAATAACAACAGACTTTAGGTCATGTAGCTACTCTAGCTAACCTCCAGTTTAATGCTGAGAAAGTGGGATTTTGTTAATGTTGTCTTCGCTCTTTTTTTAAATGCCTTGGGCTCTTAGTTTTGTGTCTTACAATTTGTATTTTCTGTATTGTAGACTTACAATTTGTATTTTGTGGTCACACTGCTAACCTCCCAGTGTAACCATCAAACACATTTGCTCATTCCTAAGAAAACTGTAGCATCCAGTAGAATGTCTAGGTTTCTGGTATAAAGTATGATTCTCTTACTGTTGATCGGCCATAAGTCCAATTAGACAGCTGTTGGTTTCCATTAGTTAACACTGAACAAAGGTTTTGAAAAGTTATTTTTTTTATTAATTACAGTTTATTCACCTTGTATCCCAGGTGTAGCCCCTTCCCTCCTCCCTTCCCAATCCCACTCTCCCTCCCTCAGCTCCTCCTACTGCCCCTTTCCAAGCCCACTGATAGAGGAGGTCCTCCTCCCCTTTCCTCTGACCCTAGCATATCAGGTCTCATCAGGACTGGCTACATTGTCTTCCTCTGTGGCCTGGTAAATCTGCTCCACACTCAGCGGTAGCTGCTCCAAACTCAGCGGTAGGTGATCAAAGAGCCTGCCACTGAGTCCATGTCAGAGACCTGTTAGAGACAGCCCCTGTTCCCTTACTAGGAAACCCACTTGAACACTGAGCTGCCATGGGATACATCTGCTGATGTTTAACAAAGGTTTTAAGCAGACTTTCATTGTAAAAATAATTGAATGCTCTTTGTGTATTTGAAGCTGGTCAAGGCCCTTAGCTCTATAACTTTAGAAGCATTTTTGTTCTTTGTCAAGAATTTAGTGTTTAATAAAAAAAATTAAAAATAATAAACCCATACAAGTTTTTATTTGTGTTATGTAGAAAATAAGACAGGTTTAAAAAGAAAATGAAAGAAACATCTTAATGAGCTTTTTTTCTTTTCTTTTTTGTATTTTTTTTTTTAACTAAAGAAAATGGATATTGATCTTCTCCAATAAAGGATATACTGTGGAAATACTGTCAAGGTTTTCTGATTTCTCAAGAGAAAAAAAAAATACCTAACTTTTCAGGAAACAACTTAAAAGTCTGCATTTTAGAAAGTGTAACATTGGATGAAGGTCAGGTTTTTAGATAACAGCAGTTCAGTTCATTCTTTTGAATTTACTTTATTAGAAATTTGTGGGATAACCATTTGCTATACTCTACATAATATTTAAAAGGATAAATTTGGAACCTGTTCTCAATATTCAAAGGAGAACTGTAATCATTTATTGAATGAAATAATGAATAAGACATTAGCTTTTTTTTTTTTTTACCATTAAATACCAGCTGGTTTTGCCAAAGTTCACATATCAGTTAAATTCTATCATTCTGAATGAGAAAAGAAAAAGAAAAAAATAGAAAAGAAGAATATATGAAAAGAAAAATCTCTTTGCCACTTGTGAATTGGGACAACAACCAAGGGTCATGTGTTGTTATGTCCTGCTTATTATGAATGAAAGCAATTCTTGTGTTCGTAATGTCATTTAAACTAGTGTCTGGTCCTGTGGATGAAGAAGCAGGTTTTCCTAGTGTCTACACTGTTCTGCATTGATTTTTTTTGAAATACCTAAGAAAATAAAAATATGCAATTTTTTCAAAAGTAAAGGAACAAAATGTAACCATATATTTTCCCTAGAAGATGAAAGTATATTGAATTCACCAGAAAGACACTTATTTGTAGTTGGTAGGTAAAAGATGTGGACATGACTACTTTAAATACACAGCATGGCATATGGCATACAGGCCAAAGAATGAGATAGTGAGAATTTTAGTAAAAAAAATAGAAAAATAAAAAAAATTACACTTTTGGAAGGGTTCAGCCTATGCATTTTTGGTTATTATTATTATTTTTTTTTACATTACTATCTTTCACCTAGTATTTTTATTTCCCTTTTCACAGTCAGTAACTAGAAACTCTTAGATTCCCTGATTCTAGTAATATTCCTAGGAAAACTAAATTCTAATTTGATTCTTGAACAAAACAAATCACTTGCTATTGATACACATTCCTCTCTGAAATCTTGCCGCAGAGTTCTTGTTATTCCAATAAGTGTTTGGGAGCACTCCACCATTACCTCTGGACCTTTGTTATTGATTCTTTGTGAAATACTGACATTCTTTCACTTAAAGGTCCTGAAATATGTTTTTAGAAATTTCTGAAATCTTAATTGTTCTGTGAAATACTTTCCTATCTATAATGAGCCGGCTAGAATATCTAGAATATCTCACATAAATGACTCACTTGAAGATGACTTGTACACCTGAAAAGCTGCACAAATAGTCATTTGAGTGGTTTCTTGAGTAGCCTGTGTTTCCAGGTTTTTTGTTTGTTTCCAGGTATCCCTAGTGGACAGTGGGTTTGTTGAGGGAGGGACAAGTCATGTCTTGTTTGCCTGCAAAGAGCACTAATTAATTTAGTGAATTCTCTTGTTTGCCTAAGTATTGTGTTTAACTTGACCTCTGACTTTGAAAATATTAACACCTTTTAAAGATAAATCTTTGTTTAGCATTAACTACATTTTTATTGTTTTATTTTCTTATTAAGAAATAAATTGACATCTTAGCTATGCATTAGAGCACGGCATGCCAAGGCAATCTTTTGCTCTAAGTAGCTTCCTGTTGGGGGAGAGAAAAGGAAAAAGTAAATGGTTTAAGTGTCTTGTTTTACCTGTAAACTTATGATGATTTTAAATCTTAATATCCCCACAATAGTAAGAAAAGCACATGAAAAAGCCCAATTCATTTATATTCATTGAACACATTGGAACATATTCTTTTTCTTAAAAGATTAATCACAGTACTGATTTGTACAATTAATTGATCAGTTGCATTAATAGTATTTTGAAATAGATATTCTTTGAGTTTCACATGTGTTTAGATCATATTCAACTCCCCCCTTTCTCTACTCAAACTCACCCAACTTTGTGTCTCTTTTTTAATCCTTTGGGGCTAATTTGTCCTGCACAAACATTATTGGTTGTTTGCCCTTCTACTACATTATGTTTGCCATACCAGAGACTACACATAGTCTTAGAGAAAACTTCTTTCCCTCTCCTAGCATCTAACAATTGTCAATAGCCTTACAGCTAGAGGTGGTGTCATGAGTGTAACTTCCCTTTTCATGCTGGAAATTTTCTGACTTGAGCTTGTACCAGTCAAGCATGCAAACACATGATTCCATAACCACAAAGAATCCATATGTACTGCTTCTCTGCTGTACACAGAAGAAAACGTTTCACTGGACTCATTCACCACCTCTGGGTTTCACAGTCCGTATTCCTTCACCCACAATGACCCTGGAGCGGTGTGTTACACATGTTTCCTATTGGACTGAGCTTTCTTCAGTCACTTAACTCTCATCATCTTGGCTGGTTGTGGGTTAATCACCATCTGTGTTAATAATCATCTGCTACAAATTAGAACTGTAGTAGATGATGGCTGAGAGATG